CAGGACTCAAACTTTTTTGGACCTTTTTGGGACTCTTTTCTACGTCCTCTCTTCTTTCTTTTATAGTTTTCCAAGAGCCGCCTTGGGATCTCTTCAAAATGTGTCCTGATTCGATGTATTTGCCCAAGAGACGCATCCTTTCATGATAATTTTTCACCTATTAAGCCAATGGGTGCCTCAAAAACCTCTTTGAAATTCGTGAAAACTGATTTTACTCATCTAGTAACTGTAACTGGCGCTTAAGCGTGGGGTCTCGGCGCTTAGGTGCGGCCTTCTCTGTTTAACCTGCGCTTAAGCGCCGAATCTGATGCTTAGGCGCCAAAACTCTTTTGCACAATTTTTCACATTTTTGCTCCAAATTTGATCCTTTTTCACTCCTTTAAGCATTTTTTTCATTTTTACTTGTATCTGCAAGAAAAACACAAAAATATCTTCCATTAAAGCGCAATATCTCAAAAATAGGTATAAAAATGTGTCTAAAAACACTATATATTTTAGGTGTATCAATGATCAATTGAACAATATAATAGGTTCAAATGAACTCAAAATATTTCAAAAAGATTTAAAAGGTTGTTAGGGATTGCTCCCCAAATACTTTTATAGTCTTTTGAATATTTTGAAGGACAATTGGACTTACTATACTTTGTTCCAGAAAATCATCCATTAAAACCTTTAGAGACTCATCAAGTTATGACTCAAGGTTTGGTAGTTATACCTTCATCTATCCTTGCAATTTATTTAAATTTCCTGCAAAATTATATATACATGTTGTAAGTTCTTATCTTTCAATGGGAGCAGTGTGAAGAAGACAAATACGCTTTTACAGTTTTATTTAATTTTTGTCATTTATTTACTACAACTTACTCTTGCTTTAAAACATTGTACATGCTTACTTTACCTGCAAAATAAAACAAGCTTTCCAAAATCGATTGACTTTTTTAAAATTAAACAAGATTTTCAAAACCAAAATAAAAACAATAATTTCATAACACGTCCTTTTGAATTTACAGGAGTCCCTTGGATAAGGTAACCCACAGTTGCTAACGAGATCTCCCCGGTTTAAATATGTTTAACAACTCGTTTAAGCTAAGTAATTCAAAAGAAAATAGTGGTGCCAAAATGAGGGAACAGTGGGATCCTAATCAGTGGCGCTCTAATCAACTTTAACCCCCCTCCCCATGATTGAACTTAAACTTGTCATTTAAACCAGTAAACTTTAAAACTTTAGGATTGCTACTTCGCTGAGGAGCTCAGAGCTAACTCTGTGGGCAACCTTCTACAACAACACAAGGATCTACAACAACAAATCTTTCTTTAGAATTAAACAACCCAAACCATAGGACTTTGAGGTTTTCCGCTTAGTGCGACATAAATTCTCAACTCATCTTTAGGTCTTTTGCACAATCATGTTATGCAATATAAGCTCTAAATCGTCTTAGGACTCCGAGATTGTTGTTAATCACGACCTAAATCTTCATATATTTCATGCTATTTATACGATCATCACACAAATGTAAACCATAACTACTAAAATTGGCGGAATGAAACATTTGATAATTTTCTTCTTGAAATTGAAGCCAAACCATAAGATAACTTCAGAATTCATTGAGGTTCTCCGCAGAATCTGTGACAACCCCTAGATTTTCTTCTTTTTGATTCCACAGAAAATGTTCAAAATTTGAGCCTCTTCATTTGACACTCCTTGGTCCAATCTTTGAAAAATATTATTCTTTGAAATTCTTAGAGACAATATTTTCTGATCTAAATCGAGAGTTCTCTTAAGAGACTTCGGTCATTTAAGATGTAATTGACTATAGGGGCTTGCCTCTATAGGGAGCTTTAAGAACCCAGATAATATAAACCTTGTCTAATTCTTTATATTAGATAGGGGATTTTGTCGGTCAATATAAAATAATTTTTTGCAAACTAAAACGAATGTCATAAATTCCTTAGTTTATTTAATCGAGCACCACCAGCAAATAGAGTATCTATCATTTGAGGTTGATAAATTGCTGCGGTGTAATGCTCGATCATTTAAAATATTGCAGATATGAGATCAGTTCGGTCTTATACTTTCAAAAATTAAAATATTACTTTTTCTAAATTATATATATATATATATATTAAAAAAATTTTAAAACTGGGCGTCAGGATATCCATTCCGGCAGCCAAAATTTTTTAATTTGGAGACCGACATTACCACAAAAGAAGAGGCTTCATCCTAAAAAAATACACATACTTATGCAAAAATATTACAAGATACTACTAAAAATTACATATATTACTGAAGAATGGCAACAATTATCATTTCAGGACGAAATACTTAATCCTCAAATTTATTTTCACATAGTGGGAAAATATCAAGTTGTCTGGATTTATGGAAACACTGATTCAAAACTCGTATCAGAATTATATAAATGTGGATTAATCTGAATGATGATCTAGAGTATGAAACTCTTCTGAAAGAATTATCAAAAGCCTATAATTGAAGCTTCAGATGCCTTTCATCAGGTAGTGAAACATTGAAATTTATATATAAAAATATATCATACTTATCCAAAATTAAGAGGAGGAGTTGTATCTCTTATACAACTTGGAATAAGTAGTGAACCTTACACTGCAAAATATAAACCTATGGAATTATTCCAGAGATCTACTGCTGAAGATCTATATCAGATGTGGTTAGAAACCAAGAAAATAGATGCCACAAATATTTGGGGTTTTTTATTCGTCATAGCAATTATTTATTGACAGTTATTGCAAACAACCCACGAAAAGGGTGCATGAAGTTATGTATAAAAAATGGATTGCTATACTTAGTTGGAATAATGCAAAAGTAAAAAATTATATTTGTCAGAAACCACAAAAAGAAAAGATACACAGATGTATGTATTGTTAGGAGAAAGATATAATACATGAAATATGATTTAAACTTGAAGAAAGGTTCAGCGGAGTACAGATGCAAACAAAAGAAAATTAATGCAGAGGAATATTTTTAGAATTATCCTCCACTATTGACAAAAAGTATAATTAGAGCATCTTTTTAGCTCAAAATATCAACCATCGATGTTAGTGCACAAGAATATTCCTAGAATCATTTTCCTCCACCATGAAAAAGTAAAATTATTAAAGCATCTTTTCAGACCACAAGGAGAATAATTCAAGCTTCTTTACAACTCGAATAATTCCTGAAGATAGATGACATCCGTTCTATTTAAAGGGGACTTCCATAATTTGGAGGGACAACTTCTTCTTCCCTCCATTCTTTTTCTCTTCTTCTCCCTTAGCTGTAATATAATGTCTGTTGGCCACAACGACTAAATAATATCTTCCTGCTCAATGTCTGTAAGTTTATTTTTTAATGTACTAATGATTATTAATGTACTAATGATTATTATGATTCTACTGGTTTGTTTAAATCTATGTTTTATTCTGTCTTGATTCTTATCTTTTCTAGCTATGCATATGATAGAAAAGGAATTAATGATGTTGTGCTCTAAATCTCTGAAGTACTTACATAAGGTTGTGGTCTGTTAAGGACCTCTCAACTTTCTCTAGAAAACCACAGAGAAATGTGTAAGATGAACCAGATATTCTAAGATCAAACCATAGAATAGTAAGATATCAAAGCATGATAACATTATCTTAAATAATCTTTCAAAAGCGTAATGGACCCCTATACCGGTGGGATTCTGGAGAAGATAAGGAAATAAACGAGGCTTTGCAAAATAATTTAATTAATCAATGATTAATTAACTATCATAAAAGAAAAACTTCCATATAAGCAAAACTGTCTATAGGAGAAGTGGATCGGGCTTCACATTACTCAACAATTAGAACCAACAAAACGAGGGAGAGCTTGGCATACTTGTTAATCCAAAGCTAAAAATAATTTCTGATAAATGGTTAAACTCGAGTAACAAACAATTAATGCAAAATAAAGAGCAAAGGAGGATTTTAAGCTAAAGCAAAAAAACTAGTATATCTAAAAATAAGCTTTAAGCAAACTAATGATACTTTATATAGAACAGCTGCAGTGATCAAATAACTTTCAAAGAACCCGAAGATAACAATAATGAGCGCATAGAACAAAGGAAAATTGAATTATCGTTCTTCCCGGCCTTTCAAGAAATAAGACAAAACATTTTCTGTTTTTTTTTTTTAAGAAATATCACAAAGCTCCCATGAAGCCTCATATCAGTAAATAATAGAATAAAAAAATATAAAAAAAATGTAGGAATGTAAAAATATTTTAGAAAATATCACAAAACTTCTGACCGTACTTGATCTTAGTAAGCATCAAAGTGTTTAATATGACCACGATCAAGTATTTCATTCTAATTTTAATCATAATACAAGCAAATAACACAATAAAAACTATGGATAAGAGGGAAGAGGAGAGACTCATTTACCATCGTCGATGGAAGTCTTCGCCATTCCAGTGAGGGCTCCGCTAGGCCTTCGTCGGTGAGTGAGATGAGAGGACGAAGAAATGCTCATTTCGATAGAGAGAGGAGAGGAGAAAAAATATTACATCATCCGAAGTCCAATGATGACTCATCATGTGTCAAGTGAACCTCTCCATTTTTAACATTGGTCAATGTCGATGTATTACGGTGGGGCTCACCTAATACATTAAACTCCGGAAATAAATTTTGTACATAATTTGGATGTAATATTTTATCCTTGAAGAACCGCAGGATTTAGCCATGAATCCTACTCAGCATAAGTAGCCAAATCATCAACCATTTGTCCCTGTTGACATTCAGTCGCCAATCTCTAAGCCATTTTGTATGTTAAAGTTTTTTTTTTTCCTGATTCGATTTAATAAGGAAAAATTTAAAAATTCGGTCTATATAAATACGTAAAAATGGAGGGGTATATACGTAAATCTTTATGAGGGGTATATACGTAAATCTTTAAAAAAAAAAAAGATCAGATAAGGTTAAAACTGTATTTATTAGCCTGAAACTTTGGCCATTTTTCCCCGTCCAGCTGAATTCAATTATTCAAACAAAGGAACAAATAGTTTAGCCTGTCACTTCATTATACGCGTTCTGTAGCTGCCTGTTGACCTCTCTTCGCCGGTATCGTGACACGATCCCAAGATCGCAAGTCCGGAGCTCCTCCCCGCCGCCGCGGTAACGCAAAGGGGAAAGAAGGAGACATAAAAGGAGGACTTAGGTTTCCAATGAGGTCGATTGACAGGGGGCAGAAAAGGTTGCAAGAAAAGAATAAGAGGAAAGCCCTAGCGAAGAGGTTCAAGGGAAAAGGAGGTGAGGAGCGGTGATGGGGTCTTCTCTCTCCAACCTGACTGAGTCTAGCAATGCAGGCGATGGTGGTCCTGGACTCGGAGACATACCAGAGAGCTGCGTGGCCTCCGTGTTCATGCACCTCACGCCACCGGAGATCTGCAATCTTGCTCGTCTCAACCGAGCTTTTCGCGGCGCAGCTTCATCTGATTCAGTTTGGGAGTCGAAACTGCCCGGAAATTACGCTTCCATCCTCGAGTTTCTGCCCCCCGAGAGTTACCAGAACATTTCCAAGAAGAAGGACATCTTCGCAATACTCGCTCGTACTGTCTTCTTCGATGACGGCAAGGTTTCGCCAGCCACTTAACTCTTTTTAGGTTTTCTTTTTTTTTTCTTTTATTCTTGTTTAGGATTGCGTTTAGTTTTTCTGTTGTTGACGACGGTTGAGCGCCTTGCAGGCCGTCTGGCTCAGTCGGCTTACCTGTGGTGTCTGTGTTTCTGTCTCTGCTAAGGCGATGAATATAACGGGAATAGATGATCGGAGGTATTGGAGTTGGATTGCAACTGAAGAGTCCAGGTACGAAACGGGACTTATTGCGTCTGGTTTGCTTTAACGTTTGTTTAGAATTTTTAAGGCGTGTGTATTTGGAGTCTTTGTTGTTCTTGAGGCCTTTGTAGAGTGGTGTTTAGTTCGTTTTTGAGCAACTGAACCTTTTGTTATTTTTTGAAGCGGGTTTTCATTTTTGGATCAAGTTGCTGAATTATTGTGGACTATGTAGGAGCATTGACATTCTAAAACCCTGCGGTGGTCTATGGTAACAATTTTGGCAGCTTTAATAAATCTTATAAATTCCGATTTACTAAATCCTACCAATAATAGGATTTATAAATCTGTGATTTAAGGCAGAACTGAGAAGGAATTGAAAAGGAACGGGATTTACTAATTCCTGGATTTAAAATTTCCATATTATATATATATATATATAATATTTTTTTTGTTTAGCAAGATTTATGTTAAATCATACATAAATACGTTGCCAGACATTCCCAAGGGGCATTTACTGAATTTAAATTGGCTGAATAAGGTGGACGGTCAGTTCTGATGGATTTCTTAAGCAGTGCACCTCTTGTTAGAAACAGTAGGTCGAGAAAGAAGTATCAAATCCTTTATCATCTTTGGTGTCTTGTACATAAGAGACTGAGAATTTTCTTGCTTCTTGGAGTTGAACTTTTTTTTTTTTTATGTTATCTGGATCTAAAGTATTTAATATAAGATATATTGTATTGATGAGTGCATTTTTTTGCTTCAGTCTAGTTAATAAATTTTTAGTCATGTAAAGTACGTTTATACACTTATTATACTGAAGTTGTAACCATTTTACATATTAGTTTGGATTGGCAACTCTCATCTTTGTTGTCTCCATGTTCATCTTTGATGGGTGAGAGTGGTTTGTGAGGGCTCATACCACTATGCTTTAATATGACATTTTATTTATTTTGATGTCTTATTTTTGGTTTCTATCTTCCTTATATGGAGTACATTCATGTTGGAAATATGATTATTAGCTTATTGGCATTATTTTAATTTTTGTGCTACACCATGAAATTTGAATCTCATGCAACTATATCTCAATTTTTTTTTTTCAATCTAGATAAAGAAAATGAGTATTTTAATTACTTTTCTCTGTATATATTTCTTTCATCTTAACATTTTATTCTCATGCAACCATCTCTAAACCTTTTCTCTTGTTCTTCAAGAATTTAGATGTTTGAGTGTGACCCTGAAGAGGGATTCTTGATTATAATTTTTTTAATTTCTTTCACTATAGTTTGAATGCCTTTGATTTACTGGATTTGTGTTTAGGCATGGGGAAATTAAAGAAAGGAGTTCCTTAAGAGATGAAACTAGGAATTGGGCTTAATTACTATAACATTATAGTTGCATGATTTTGGATGATATAGTGTTCATTGTAATGCGAATGTTGTTGTAGTTCAGGAGAAGAGAAGTAACATAAGAAGAGAGAGTGAGAGGGTGGAAAAGGGATTAGTTGGAGAGCTAAGAGGAGCCACCAATTTAGAGAGAGAAAAATCAAGGGAATATATTTCAATTCATGATTAAATAATCTACGTAACAACCATTCAATCCCTTTTTAGAAAAATTGGGTTACAAGACAAAACCAATCTTAATTTAATTTTGATATAATTTAAATTTAGATAAATCGTAAAACTTATAATACAAAATTTAAAATAAAGATGATCTGAATTATCAAATAAAATAAAAACAAAATAAATTAAAAATAATAAATAATACTAGAATCTCTTAGAAATATTTTTTTTACTCTACGATAGATGTTGCTTATGGTTAGTGCGTATGTCCCACTAAATTATATTTGTCTCCTTGCATTATCTAGAAGCTTTAGGTTTTGTTGATTCTAAGTACAATTGGAGCATTGTCTTATATTAACTAAGAAAGTTTGTAAATACTTTTTAATTATCCTTTTGCATGAGAAAGGATGTTGTTTTAAACTCAATATCCAGGTTCCTTTAGTCTTCATTTGCTTGCGCACAAGGGCAATAAAATTTAATCATTTGTATTTTTGATTAATCATCTTATTTATTTTCTTTCCCCTTATCCCTTTTGGTTATCATTTTGTCAACCTCATTGCCCTCTCTAGAGCAATATGACCTTAAACAAATCAAACTATGAACGTACGTTAGCATCAATTTTGATAGAATTTGAACCATAGGGTCCCTCATGAGATCTTCGCAAGGCATCAATATGATGAAATTCAGTGGTGTCAACCAATCAACAAAACTTTTTTTGACAAATTGAAAATTCACAACTTCAATTTTTTTTTTTCTAATTTATATGGATTGCACCCAATCTAGGTATTTCAACATATGTTGAATCTATAGCTTATATAATTAGACAAATGATGTATGAGTTATGCAAAAAGGTCTAAATTCATGAATATTTTCTTATGATCTCAATTGCACACTTGTCATGCATTTATGCTTGGGTTGGGCACAACCTCACCTTGTTTGTTTGGATGGGCTACTTTTTTTATTCGATAAAATTATTTTAGGTGAATTATAATTTTGGTTGTTCTATTAAGTTTGACCAACCATTTATCTTCACAAAGATCCCTCAAGCATTGGTATATTTCAGGAGGGTTATTCTGGGATTTCATATAGGAACTCGATATTGTGATGGTGGAACCATTAAGATCAGTGTGAGAAAGTCCATGCAAGTTCAATATTGAGGTTTGAAATGATTGTTAGATGGCTATTGCTATTCAATGGAGTAGAGAAGAGAAACTATTAATGAAAAAATATAGAGTTGTTAATTTAGTTCGTTTTAATTATTTTTTTAGAGGATGTGTAGATCAATTGTAATATTACTTTTATTATGATTTCGAGTTAAAATTTGAATCATAAAAAAAAAAAATTGTAACATAAGTGTTATGATTCACATGTCACCTTATTAGATTGTGCATTTGCAGGAAGATTTATGCACTAGTTATAGCAATTATTGTTTTGGTCTAGAAATGAAATAAAAAGGGTCTTGAATACCAAACTTAAAAAAATATATTTTTTTAAAAGAGGGAACAATAATGGGGTTTTTTTAAATTTTCCTAAATATTATTTGTTCACTAATTGAGAACAACAATTAATTCCTACCTTTGCTTGAAAATTCCAATAGGATCTTTGGAAATAATAGCCATATCTAAGGACATTTTATGTAACATGTTATTTATTTAGGTGATATGAAGGATTCTTAATTTTTTTAAATGACTATATGATGTAAACCCTTAATTTATTCTACTTTATTGCTTTGGAGATCTATATATGACTTTAGGACCATTTTGGGCAGTTGAGTGATTTTTTTGCCAATTGTGTGTTTTATGTTGCATTTGTAACTTTGATAACTAACATGTAACATCTAAAAACTATTGAATTGGATTGTAGAGAAGAAAAAAAATTGCTAAAATATTGACATAGTTAAGATAGGATATTGGAAAGAATGCCATTGACAATAACACATTTTTAGGTCAACGCAAACATTAAGAGATTAAATTTTAGAGAAAATAATTTTAGATTAAAGCTCCCCCTGCGCCTCTATCTCCCTCCTTTAATTTGTGCTCATTTTTAATTGAAGATGTCAAATATAGTGAAAACTTTGGTCGAATATGTTTCAATTCATAGTTCATTATTTTATTACTATAAATAGGATATTTTGAAGTCAAGGATTTATTTAGAATGCTATTAACATTTAGTATTGAGATTGTTTTTATTTTTCTTCTTGGGGAAAATACAAAAACAAAAAGCCTTCATCCGACTAACTAGGGTCAGCTACATGAATCCTTTTTATCAATTGCGTCCCATTGAATGTCATATTTTCATTTAATTCTAATAAATTAAAATCATATTTTATATAATATGTCCAAGTCTTTCTAGGTATACCTCTCCATTTCTTAACAAAAGTCGAATCTAAACATCTACTCTCCTAACCGAATCATCAGATAGTCGACATTTAATGTGACCAAACCTCTAAAGACGGCTCTCTCTAATTAAAAGCTGCTAAGGTGATGGAAAAAAAAGTAGATTCCTCCATTAGAAGTGGCGTGGCCTAAAAAATTATATTATTATTATTATTATTATTATATCCGAAGAATTTGAAAGCCATTTTATGTAGATTGTTGTTTTAGGGTGTACTTATCTATTGTTCATGATGTTTCATTATAGTTTATCATCTTGCACTATTGCCATTGAATTTCCACCTAGCATCATCCTTAATTCTTTAGGAAAAAAATTATCATTCAATCACATTATCTCCTATAAATATCATTAACTGTTTTATAGGAAATACATTGACGTATAAGGATCAAAGTCTAAATGTACAATTTTGAAAATTTGTGTTTGCCTCTTTAGGATTTGAAGCTTGTTATTAGAAACATCTTAACAAAATTGAAGTTTAGTTGTTTTATCTACAAAGTTCAAAAAAAATAAAAAGCGTAAGTTTTCTCTTGTTTTCTTCTAAAAAACTCTTAAAATTGTTTGACTATATATGCTTCAAATCTATCTCTTCTGTGTTTTGTTTTCTACGATACTGAAATGAACAACTTGAATGTTAATTTCTGTCATTAAGATGTAACATTTGAGGATATATAATGAAAAAAAGCTGAGAGTTGGATTTCATCTTAAACCTTAAATTTTGTTTTATAAAAAAAGAAGCAATTTTCACGATGCTAATTAACCTTAATGCTGTTCATTTTTGTATCATGGAAGACACAACACATTTGAGATAGATTTGAAGCATTTATGGATACACAAAGTCAGGATTTATTTTAGATAAAAATGGGAGAAATTTCAATAGAAAAGAAAATTATAGAATTTTGTAGATATAACAAATACATAGATTTCGTTATTTTTTTGACATGTTTCGAATGTCATACTTCAAATATTAAATAATCTGCCAATACCTATCACAATTGCATGTTCAGTTTGATTTCAGTTAATAAATATTAGTTTGATATTTAAATGATATTAAAATCTAATAAATAGACTAAAATTAAG